GCTTTCCCATGCACTGCTAGCTCTGCAACAACTGCTTTCTTGCAGGAAAAGGCACAAATAAGGAGGGAGGAAAGAGCTAAAAGGCGGCAGCGACTGGAGGACATAAATACCCTGAAGAGCATGGGTTATTCAGAGAGAGCTGCTCAAATAGCTCTTCATGAGGCACAAGGAAACGTGGACCAAGCCCTTAAGGTAAGTGACTGTGAGAAATAGTGTTTTTTTGTGTATAAAAGTTTGGATTTTTGTTTTTGTTTTGCTTTTTGGAATTGCTCATCTGATTATTTTCTGGCTTCTCTGTTGCACAGTTCATAGCTGCCACTTTGAACTGCAGTGACCGAACTTGCACTGCCTGAGCTGATGAATCAGACATCACTCAGCTGGGCTGAGGTTTCGGTTATACCAATTACTGAGCTACACATGCAGCTGCATGGAGGAGCACTGAATCTGTGTGGCTGTCATCTGATCCTTCTCTTTTTTTACTTTAGTTTATTCTTGACAATCCTGAGTTATTGTTGGAAAATGACGACGATGACCCTGTGGCCATAGACCAGTTTCAGGTTTCCCGGGAAAGTATTGATCAAGTAAGTTGAATCCCTCAGTTTCTTAGGAGTTGGCACTCCTGCTTCTGAGCTTCTAAACATAATTAGCCTCCTTAAGCAGAGCTCTACAAATATTCTTCATCCCAAATCACTCATAAGCTGTCATGCTTCCGTTAACTCTCTATCCTTTACCATTAAGTTGCACATTCCGTACTTGGTGCCTTTTTTGCCAACCTCCATGCACTCATACAAACAGAAATAGGCTTGTTTTAACCCTAGAAGGGTGTTCTACTGAAATCCTTAAATGTTTTGCACAGTACGAGAGAAAGAGAGTTGGAATGTACCTTCCTCCACCAGCCATCTGAAAAGCTCCTCGTTAATTAGTGTGGCTATATGATTAATGTCAATAGGAAGGAACACTCTATTGTGTAGAAAAACTAAATAGCCCATGCACATTCCTGACATTCTGGAATTTTCTTCTTAAAAACAGCAAAAATAATGGTCTGAGGTTAAATATGAGACTCTTCATTCTGCTGAACATCCCTATTCCCGTAATAGGTCACTGCCCTGTTGTGAACTGTTCCAGTAAACCAGGGTCAGTGTCCTGGAATTCCTGACGTGCATCACTTCCCTCCAGGCAAGGGAATGACTGACGGATGCAGAGTCAGATTCCTGTCAGCCTCTGACGCTGAATGAGCTTGGATTTCTCTATTTTTTTTCCCCTTCTTCTATCTAGCTGATGTACATGGGCTTCAGCCACGAATCAGCAGAGCAAGCGTTGAAGGTCTTCAAAGGCAACATCCACTTGGCTTCCCAGACCCTCGCCCATTACGGGGGGGTCCTTCCTGCCTCACTGCTGCTGTCTCCAGAAGGCTCCACGGCCTCGGAAGAGTCGACTTCTTCGAAAGATTCTCCTACAGATTCTGCAGGTCAGAACTGCCGGCGCAGCAGGGAGGGAAAGGGGTAAAGAAGCGACCATGAAGGGAGGGCTGCTGCAATATTGATAGAGCTTTGGGTAACTGCCCAGGGTAATGAGAGTAATGAGAAGACCTCAGTGAAAATAAGCAATTTACCCCTGTTATGCAACTACAGACTCTTCCTCCTGGAAAAACTTGCAGCCATCCTGCAAGCTCTGGCTTTCCAGGAGCAGCCGTGCTGGTGCAAGAGGGAAAGTTCTTTCAGCGACGATAAAATGCCCTTTTATTTCCCTGGTAGGTTCCTCTAGTTTGCCAACAGATGAAGACATGGAGACCGACGCAGTCAATGAAATCCTAGAGGATATTCCTGAACATGAAGAGGATTATCTGGATTTAACACTGGAGGAGGAGGAACAGATCATTCATGAGTACTTATCCTATATACAACTACCACAGCATTAAATCCTGTTACCTCTGCTTCAGTTATATGCATTTACATTGGCAAATTGAGTTTGGATTATAAATGCATCTTCAGCTTATCTTTTACTAAATGCCTTGAATTCAGTCAAACTCCAGGTAAACTACTTAATTCCTGCTTATTTATAAATCTGCTTAAAAGCTACATTTGTGATACATCATAATTTATTGTCCTAGCAGAAAAATAGAAGCATTTATTTTCAGAAGAAAATTTAATAGAACTTAACTATATTTTTATTGTTGTGAAATAAGTTAACCCACTTAGTATACAAGCAAATAAGCATTTCTACACCATTTTAAAATACCAGCTTTAAAAAGTATTTGTAAATCAGAAGTCTGGCTACCGAGCTCTACAGAGCTGTCACCTTATGGGCTGGTTTTCTTCTGAAAGATTCCTCAGTCATTTATGTGTCTGTCGTGCATGGACTTTTTTGCAGTGGCGTTTTGCTTGTCACTTCATGCAGGTGCTGCAGAGCCAATAAAGACTGCGCGCTGCTTCTGCCTGCTTTTCTTGGGAGTCTTTCATGCTTTTTTGTTGTCTCTTGTTTTTAAAAAGCAGCAGAAAACGGAGGCCTGGCCAGGTAGCGTTGGACTCCCGTGAGCTATTTGCACTAATTTTGTATTTTAATTCATACCTAGCAACCTCGTTTCCCCACGTGTGTCTACAGCTCCTTCCTCCACCTCCCAGAATTGAGCCTGAGCATTAAACTCACTGAACTGTCTCCACAGTGGGGACTAGGAAGTCTGTCTTACTCAGCTGTTGAGCAACACTGGGTTCAGAAAGCTGGAGAAATGCCTTTTGGGTTTCTTGGTGGTTTTGTCGAGGTGGGTTTTCTTTTGTTTTGTGTAAGTGCATTTTGTAACACCCTCCTTTCCAGCTGTACAAGCAGTGCCCCCTTGGTGATTAACTTGCATCAGAAACAGCTTCAGAAACTTCACGGCAGAGGGAGCTCGTGTCCCACCTGCTCCATGAAGGGGCTGGAGCTGGTGGGGACGCTGGCGTGATGGTTTCTCACACTTGTGCATCAAGGCAAGGGCTGTACAGCTTAAGGTCGTGTCTGTCCTCAGAGTTAAAAACGACCCCAGCAACAATTACATCTCCTCTCTGTCTAAAGATGAGGACTGAGGAATCACAGAGCAAAATGCATCTTGGGTGAAGGCAGGGCTCTGCTCTGTTTTGTTCTGCATAACTTACCTGGGATTTCTCGGAGGCCTCGAGCCTTTTCCTTTAGCTGCCTTGAGTGGGTTTGGAAACCACCCTCTCTCCCAGCAGGGCCCCAGGCAGCTCCCCCAGCAGTGAGCTGGAGTAATAAGTACCCAACTCTTGGAAACAAGTATCAATTCGCACTGGAGAGCAGTTCCCAGCAGTGGCTGTCTGTGCTGAAGAACTGACTTGTAAACTGGAGTAAAGCCAGGACCATACAGAGGAATAAAAAAGGGAGTAAAGAGGCATGAGGCATGCAGTTTTAATAAGAAATAGGGGAAAGCACAACTCTCTTCTTTCCCACAGCCAGCAGCGTTCCCAAACCCCCAGCACTGCGTTAGCCCTAGGCAGCACGTGGGGCAGCAGGCGCCCCTGCAAGGGCCCTTCTCCTCCTCTTTGAAGTGGTTTGTGCAGCAGCGTGGCAGCAACTTCACCCATGAACGTTTGTCCTTGGGGAACTTAAAATCAGCGTCACACCACGCGCTGCTCCCCGGAGCAGCCAGTCCTCGAGGCCAGGGCTGCAGCGCTGCTGCCCCGAGTAACCGTGAGCGCGGCCGTGAGCGCCAGCCCGGCCCCAGGGCTGTGCTAGGGGCTTTTGGTTACTTAATTTTGGAACATTCACCTGGAGCCCTGTCTTAGGTTTAAGAGCAAGCAGGAAGTGCGTTAATTCCCCTTGTAATGAGCTTGCTCTTTTACACCCATGGATTCTGTGTGTGCCGCTCTGCAGGCTGGAGCCCCTCTCCCTTCGGATGTGCTGGGTGCAGGTTTAGACAAAACGTAGGACGCTGACCATCCATCCAGCTCACAGCCTCGTAGGTAAAACAGGAATAAAGCTAGTTCCGTGTCACTCCGTTCTCGTAGGAGCAGAGCCACCCCCAGGCATTTCCCACAGCCCCAGGCGGGACGGAGGGGAAACCGGGCTGTAAGGAGCAGCTGGGCTCCAGCATCAGTTCCTCCGTGGCAGCCTTTAGCCCCCATGGAAGTGCAGTTCCCAGCCAGCTCCACGGAGCCCCCCGATTATAGACACTACAGCTGCCAGCCCTTCCGAGCTGCTTGGGCTTGTTTTTAACACTGAACAAGGTGCTGCTCAACACTCCGGCCTCCCAACCGGAGTGAAGGAAAGGCAGGAAATGCTTCCCAAAGTGTTCTCTTTATTTTTGCTTTTCTGTATTCCATCTGGTCTTAACTGCTGTGCATCTGTGGCCACCCAAATCCCCTCTGTATGAGAAGAAAACAAAAACTAGATTGTTAACAACCTGTAAATGCCACCTGTTTATTATTCCATTCTTAAAAAAAAAAAGTATTACAGCACTTGTCTGCTGTAGTACAGAATAAATAAGGCCATAAAAATAAAAACCATGTGGTTAGATATTCTGCACTGATGCTACAAAGAGTTGTATCTGCAAATAGAAAAATATAAAGAACCCTTGTTTATTCATGGCTCAGTGGTTATCAGCGAGGGATGAACATGGAAAAAGAGTGGGAAAAGTCTCCTTGGATTCGCCTATCCAGTCCGACCTCAGAGCTGGCACAGAGAGCGCCTGAGGTCCCTTCCAGTTTGGGGTCTCCTGTGATCCTGAGACTCTCTTGTGGTCTAAATAGTCTTGAGTCTTACGGGAGTTCTTAGTTCCACAGACGCACACGGCGGATGTCACCCGAACCACCCTCCTGAGCCGGGCACTGCTCACCTGCCTGCGAAGAGCCACCAGGAGCCACAGCCCGGCCCGCGCCCGTCTCGTGTCACAGAGAAGCCTGGCCCGAAGGGAGATCCACAGGCAGCCCCTTCCCATCTCCTTCCAAATCCTGGGCGTTTGTACAGTAGCGCAGAGGACAAAAGGTTCAGCTTTGGGCTGTCCTGGCTGCTCACATGAGTTCCACGGCCTCGTGTTCCCCGTTTTCCTGCTGGACGATGCAGCCGACTTTGTTGTTGAAAAGCCGGGACAGGCTGCCCTTCTGAGAGCCGCGGCCCTGGGCGGATCTGTCCTTCTTCAGACGGCGCTTGTTTCTCTTGCATATTCCCCGGATGTCCCAAATCCGCAGCGTGCCGTCGTGGGAAGCCGTGTACAAGAGCTCGTTGTGGATCTGCAAGGACAAGGTCACACTTAGCGCCGCCCTCCACAGCTCAAATCAAACTGTCAATGTCAAACAGAGCCTGATCCTAACGCTGAGGGCCTGCGAGCTCATTGCAGGCGTTGGTATAAATGATCACAGAAGCTGCTAAGCGGAATGACCCGTAACCAAGCCAGGACTCGCTCCGCAGCCACTTCCCAGTGCCCTAAAAAATAAACGGCGTGAGTTATCTATAACTTAAACCACTAGCAAGGCAAGGGGGAACTGAACTCGGAACAGGCTGTAGCTGGGGAACACGGCCCTGGTTTCTGGCAGCTGGATGGAAGATCAAGGCTGAGGAGGCACCAAAGCAGCAGCATGAGGGGCAGTGGGAGCTTCCAGGGCCTGTTGTGCTTGGGATGGGCTCCAAAACGGATGGTCAGCAGTTGCTGGACTGCTGAGGGATGCCCAGGGGATGGGGAGGACAGTGCTATATGTGTATATTTATATATACATATACATATATATATATATATATATATATATATATATATCACTGCTTGACCAAGAAAGCAGCTTCCATGCAGCACAGCGCATTGGAATTATCTTCGTCTCACGGTCACATGTGACGGAAGGGGCCTCATGAGGTCAGCCCATTCCCTGCCCCTACGCAGCATCAGTCTGTCTCCTCCCTTATAGTTACTGTCTGCTCCCTTATAGTTACTTGTGTAACTGACCTCAAAAACCTCCAACCAGAGACACCCGACCGTCTCCAGAGACCCATTCTGTGGTTCCCTTGCCCTTACAAGTACAAAGCTTTTGTAAAATTACAGAAAAGAAGATTGAAGTCCATCACATTCTCCCTTACCCTACAGGAATGTTTGATCTGAGGACTGTGGAGAACCACTTTGCCATCCCAGCTCCCACAAAACATGGCGGGAGCGATGGGACACGCAGAAAGCCCAACGTGTGGCTCAGCACAGAAGCGCCTTCCTTACCTGGATGCAGTTGATGATGAACTTGTGTCCTCGGAAGATCTTCTGCAGGACCCCGCTGCGGGAGTTGAAAGCCCTGGCGCAGGCGTCGCCGCTTCCCGTGAACACTGCAAGGCACCGCACACGGCACGAGTACAAACGAGTACCAGGAAACGCCTCCCCGCGGAGCAGCGCAGCTCCAGCCCTGGCCTCCTCCCAGTTACACCCAGATCAGCTCACTTGGGTTTCACTGACCCCAACAGGCTTGTTTTTTTGTTCGTATCTTTCAAAACACTGACCTTCCTTTAGTCTGAAATTCCTGCATCCATCAGCACTCCACACACACACACCAAACAGCTCTACAGCTCTTTTCTTCCATATAGACTTCTCTGTCCAAACGTGCTTCAATAATTCTAGCCTAAGCAGGTTTTCCATTTGCTCTAGCACAGACATTTCCAGGTTCCCCCTCACTACAATAAGGATCTTCATCACTTCTGCTGCAGCATCAAGCAGAACTGAAGTACCTGAGTATCTCTACTGGGAAGCTTGAGACCACCGTTAATGGGCTGCTGCCCTCTCCTATATCAGTAACATGACATTTGTCCCTTTCTGTGCTAAAATATACCATTTTTTTCAGCCATTTTCAAACAAAAGGTACTGCCAATGATTAGGGCACTCTCTGAAACACCACTATAAGGTAATATTGAATATTCAGGTTGTTTATTTAGCAGTAGACCCAAAAGTCCATTGGCCTGTTTTAAGACTTACAAATTGTCTTCTTAAAACTTTTTCTTCCTCTCACTTACCCTAAACTCTTCAATTTTATGAAAAAATAAAAAAATTTCAAAACTGCCCAAAGCAACATATTCACTGTCCGTGCATCTCATGCCTGCAAAAAAGCACGGACAAAAACTGCAAAATGTTTGAGTAACACAGAGACGTTATCTCCGGGGAGCTGCTTTCCCACGGAGAGGCGACGCTGTAAATCCAGGACCCGGCCCACAAAAGCAGCCAACAGGCTCTGCCCGCGCGTCCCGGCTCCTGCTTTACAGGCCGGGCCCTCCTGGCTGCACCCAAGGGGCGTCTTGGAGAAGCAATTATCCGAGGGAATCCCTACCTCATTCCATAGGGGCTGAGCAGAATTCCCAGCGCAGCCCTGAAAAGGCCACGGCCCCATTCTGCAAATCAGGGCACGCAACGAGACACTGATTTTTCCCCCCGTGAATGGAAATCGCTTAGCACCAAATTCACACACGCAGGGCAGGCCCCAATTAAGGGCCGTTTTCACTTTACAGCCGTCAGTTTGTTTTAGCTGCCACTGTCAGGACTTGCTTTCGGCAGCTCTCTGGGGGCTTTGGAGCTGTCACTCGAGATTTCAGAAGTCTCTTGCACATCGACGTTTCAAAGGGGAGCTCTTACTCTAACTGGATTTAGCATTTAAATATATGCTTATATATTTATATGTAAGCAAAAGCTGCAAAACAAACAAATCAACGCTTTATTTTTGTATTTTTACTTGAATTTCAGAGGCCTGGGGAGGGGAGCGTTTTAAGTGGAGCTTGGAGCTTTTGCAACACGAAAAAAAAATAATTGAATCCAACTTTAACTGACAAAGCACCTATGTAGGAGACAAATAATGAACATAATATCATTAAGCAAATTAGATTAAAAACTAGCTTTAATGTTTCCCATGATATTAATTACACAGACAGACTAAAAGCCACTAAAAGCTTCATTCTGATGGTTTAGTTCTCAGATCTGTCTGGATTCCTTGTGCCACGTACAGCCATTCGGGAAACACACACACATTTCCTCTCATTCTTAGATTCTTTTTAATTAGACTGCAAACTCTTTGGGGCAACCAGTCTTTGGCACCAAGGCAAGATCCTGTCACTCAGAGCTGCTCCGTGCTCCAGGGCTGGTGCAAATGTGACCAATGTAGGCGAGGAGATTTACACTGCATTATTTTTGTCACATTTTCAAAAGATAAAAGAATCTGAACGTGGTGCTGACCTGTCCCAGGTGAACGGCAGGCACTTCCGAAGAAGTGAAAATGCCTCTGATCACCTATTTAGACAGCACCTAACAACCCTGTTTTGACTGGAATCTCAAGGTCTAGCTATAAGGTAACCAATCATAGAATGCAAATCCATTTTTAAGGGGAAATTTCCTCTTTCAAAAATTAAAATGCCTCTACATTGCAATAACAGGAGTTGCTACCATTTTTCCATGGCTTGTTTTTTCTGCCTTTCAAGTGGACCAATCCAATTCTCCCTGTTTGAGAGCTCTGTATTTTTGCACTCGAGCTGATAACCTTGCCAGCACCTCCAGTGCACTGTGGAGCTGCTCCTCACAGCTCTGGTAGCTGCAGCAGGATTGCCTGCACTGTGTGAGCGAGTGGGAACGTTACGGAAAAATAATGCAAGTGCGTGGCAGGGGTGGCGAGTGGGAGAAAGGCATCTTGGAATGAAGCTTTTCTTTGAATCTGAGTTTTCTGTGTGGTGGTTCTGAGAGTCTGGTCAAGCATCCACTGACTGGACGAAGAGCAGGATCAACACTGCGACTTGCAGCTCTGGAGTCAACTGAGCTGCAGGCTCTACCATGGCTACATCAACAGCCCACAGGATTCAAGGCCAGCTTCCCAAGCCTGCAGCATTAAGTGTTCTCTAGCAATAATCTTTGAGCAAAGGCACTGCTGAACGTAGGAAAGGCAACTTACAGATCCCAGCGTGGTATTTCAAAGTGCTAACGCTGTGCTTGTGCGCCTTGTACGTCTGGATGCGCTCCCCAGTGTCCACCAGCCAGCACTTCACTGTCCTGTCCGCGCTGCCCGAGTACAAGTGCCGATTCACCAGCTGAGGGGAAGAGAAGCAGCGTCAGCAACCGGCCCCGGGCATGTCCGTGAGCGCCGCGCCGCGGGGACGCCCCCACGGCCACAACTTCGGACTGAAAAGCCAGTTCACAGAGCAGGAATCACACCTCAGCAGGGAGGGACTGCGAGTAAAACCAGTCCTGCTTTCTGCATGATCCCGTGGTTTGAATTTTCGGCCTAAAGAACAGCTTCCACATTGCAGAAGCTGGAAACGTTAGCCAACCTGCTGGTGCAGCAGGCAGCATTTCACTGAGCTTCACAGTGCTCCCCCTATTTCCAGAATTGGCTAAATCAATAAAACCTCCAAAATGGAGTGTAGTTTCTGCAAAGCACAGAGGGCGAGGACACCAATCAGGTCACAAATTTCTATTAAAACCCCCAGAACAATCCTGAGTGACAAAGCAAGTAAATTAAAAATAAAACCCCACCCAACACAAATGACAGCTCAACAGAATCAATCTGCACAAGGTCAATATTTAGAAACATTTCCTCCTCAAAACTGTTTTGTATCTGTGTTCCTGCAATCTAATGATTAAATAATCTCTCTAATAATTAAATCTATCTAATGATTAAATAATCATTAAGTAACGATTCTCCATGTCTTCACCCTCATTACGTAGCTGAAGCAGAACAAGCCTGCCCAGAAATCCCAAGGAGAGGGATCCCTGGGATCAATCTGCCCCTCGTGTAAACGCCCAAGGGTGGAGGAGTTTACTCCCATACGGACAAGATTGCAGGGAATGGCAAAGGGGAAGAATTCCCGTCTGCTCCGTGGGGAATGGTGACATGGAAAGCCCCCCATGCATCGTTATAAAAGCAGCCCGCACGCAGCATCGCTGAGGAGCTTTGCACAAAAACCACTCACAAGAGCATCCAACCACCTGGGTTGAAAGACACAGAGCAACAAGGATTTGCTAGGATCAAAGGCCGGGTTAAGCCCGGCCTCCACCTGCAGGGCAGGCCGGAGGGGCCCTGCCACCCAGCGCGGCTCCACGCGAGCGGCCCTTCGGAGCGGGGCTCCCGCTCGGCTGCGCTTGGCCGACTCCTCACATTCCTGTTCCAAACATCCAGCAGCTTCGACCCACCCCGCGAGCGAGGGGACACGCCAAGTTATGACCCCCTGCAAGAGAACACCACTGGCTAATGGTCCACTGGGTTGTGCTGCTTCATTCCGACGTTTAAGTGGCCTATAAACGCGGAGGGGGAGGCGAACAGCAGCGACTTGCCCGGATTTGCTTCTCTGAGATGTAAAAGTGCGTGAAACGACACAGCCTGGCCCAGCTCACCGGATAGCTCCCTATCCAATCCTCTATTCCTCAGGCCTATCCTTACTAGGGAATATAATTTTCATATGATTTCCAAGGAAAGATGCAAACTCTCACTCAGCATTTCCCGAGTATACTAAAGTCCGTCAACTGTTGGTTTAAAAACCATCAGCAGATACAATTCCATGTTCCAAGCTGCTATTCCAAGCTGTGTTTTCCTTGGCTGGCTTTAAGGAAGCTTTGTTCACCCTGGCTCATTTCCCACCAAAGCTCCTGACAGGGAGAAACACGGCAAGGCAAGGACACCTGTAGCACAGCAGAGAACACAGAACATGCAGATTGAAAATACTGAAGAAGTTTCTCATTTAAACATAAAAAAAGAAAAAGATGTAGCTCTGACCTTGGTTGTAGCCCCTAGACTCACCACTGCTCAAGTAAATGAACAGAGATAATCTCATCTAAGGGGTTATTGGAAATGTCCCTATTGCTCCATAAACATGGTTGAAATGTATATATGTAGCGGCTTAAGATAATTTCTATCTGTATGAATGCCAGGAAAAAAGAAAAAATGAAATAAAGCTGTTTGTTTAGCAGGTATTTCAACCTATGGCTTACAGACTGGACTTTATTCCCTCTCTTTGCTATACAGCATAACTCACCCCTCAGGCAAGGAGAGGCATTCGGCTCTCCAGGCGGCTTTGGAAGCGTCTTCCCTGCGAGGGCCGGTTCCCAGGATCCTGAGCTCCCATCACCGACGCTCCCTCCCACGGCCGGGGTCAGCATTCCCACAACCTGCCCCCGCCGTCCCCCACCACCTCCGGGTTATAAATCACCAACTGCAGCAACCTCAAGGCAGCCTCCAGCTGAGGCAGCCCTTTGGGAGCCCTCTCAAACCACATTCATTTTAACGAGCTGAAGGAAGGAACCCCCTGTGAGCAAGAGAGGTTTGTTTTTTTTTCCCTGAGACTCCATCTAGAGTGAAATCTCTGGTCAGATCATTAAAAAACACTTTTTTTTTCCAACTTCTCTACTGTAGTAATGGTCAAAGTAACGGTCATAATCCCTTTTTCTTTCCAAACAAGTGTTCTACACATTCATATTTATATTCCTCTAATTCAGCCCTTCATCCTCGGATGAATTATGCAGTAAATACAAGCACACAGACAAAACTCCATGTACTTAATTTAATTGCTAACTGGTATGACAGGAGAAAACATTATGGCCCTGTGATCATTACAGCTAAGTGCATAAATAGAGCCGAGGCAATGGCTTTGCCCAAAGCAGTCTGTTCTTCCAGCCACCTTGAAAAGGCACCTAAAGGGATTGGTCCCAACAAAGCATCTTTTTGAGGAGAATTAAAGCACTTCCGCAGCCTTTTGCAACCCGTTGCAATTTTCACCCCAGTAAGAGCGCTTGCTGTGGCATCCACGCCACATTCCAATGGGATTGCTCCTTCCTGCCAGCTTTTGGCAGGGCAGTTTTGACAAGTGCCCGCAGAGGCTGAACAAGCAGCGCGGGACAAAGCGATCCTTGTGAGCAGTTTGCAGAACCACTTTGGAGACATTTGCAACGACAGCCACAAGTAAATATTTAAGTCGGGGTTATTCAGCCTCGTGCAGGCAGTTGTGTTTAGGAAAATACATGCTTCATTATTAATTAAAAATACTGGTCTTTAGCCAGGCCTGGAATTTTGAAGTGGGAGAACCAGAATGGACGGTGTGATTGCTCCCAGCCCACGTTGCTCTTTCCCGTTGCTTCCTACAAAATCTCATCCTCAGCTCCTATATGCAGGGGGGCAGTGGAAAGGCTGCCAGCCCTTGTGTGCCAGGCTACCAGAGCGAACAGCTCAGGTTGCCCCTCGGCTTGTTCCTATTAGTAACTGCACTTAGAAGTTAGGGAAAATATGGTCTCAATATCCAAACTTTTCTTGTCACGTGTCCAGGACAAGAGCTCACACTGCATTTCTCACATTTTTTGAAAGGGCAACCTCCCTGGGGGTCCTTTATTTGCATAAATAAAACAGAAATAAGTTTTCAGTTCTTCCCTTCAGTCTCTCCACACTGAGTTTTAAACAGCCAGAGAACAACAAGGTACCTTTAACTGCTGGTACCACCTCAACTCCTTCAGGACAAGAGTGAAGGGTGCTGCAATCAGCGACACTGACCTATTGCCAACAATTAAAGCTGCTGCTGGCTGGTGTGAACAACCCAAAACCACCCCCGAGCCCTTCCTGACCCACAGTTTGAAAAATATTTCCCTAACTCACTGCCATTGTCACAAAGCAGCCCTGGGTAACAAAGGCCCTATGAGATATCTGAGAGGAAAACAAGTAAAAATTAAAGGAAAAAAAAAAAAAGAAAAGAAAAGAAAAGCACGCTCTATTCAGGAAGTTTCCATTCTGTTGTAACATCTTTGTATAGATTCTGGTGATTGACTCCTTTGTAAAAGAACTAAAATACGCCGTGGGCTGTGCTGAGAGGCAGCCAAGAGGAACAGAAGGGCCAGTGTTGCACCCAGCAAAAGGAGTGAGAAATTAGGAAAGACCGACAGGCTGCAGTTATTCATTTTCTAAAGCAGGAGCATGTTGTGGAGCCCCAGAAACTGAGCGCTCCCTTTGGGGTCTGCACGCGCCTCAGCTGGGCTCTTGTGGCCTCAGATGTCAAGTGGTGATGAGAGAAGGGCCTGGCTACCTGTTAATCACAGCTACAAGAGGAGGGTCTGGCCAAGGCCGCTGCCAGAACGCTCTTGGAAGCAGGAATCCTGTGGGCTAGGAACTGGTCAGGTTTTCCAAGCAGATACGTTGCTTTCGCTTCCCTTGTCCCCTACAGAAAGTGCTGTTTGTTTCCACCCATTGTAGAGCTCCATGCTCACAAGTGCAGAGGCTTTGCTCATTCCTGAGCGTTCACAGGGCAGAACTGAATTTCTCAGGCTTCTGGGAGAGCCTGTTTTGTTCAACAATTTCAGTAAGAACCCAATTAAATTAAAGCCAGCTCTGCTGCTGCCAATCTGTGCCTTGGGGAAGGGTTACAATTAAGCAGCAAATACATAGCGTGACACTAAAAACAGTGACGGATTTACTTGAGCACCCTCAAAACGCATTACTACAACATCATAAAAGCAAGCTTTAACACTGAGAATTTACCCAAGCAAGACAAACATTATCCCAGGGCAACATAATTTAGCTTTTTCTCCTCTAAAACTGCAGAAAAATTCACTTCCTGCAGTGTTACTGGGTTTTCAGTCTGCTAGTACCGTCTGGGACTATTTTCTTTAGAACCAGACAGCATTTACTAAGCAGCTGTTAAAAAGCCCTAATCTGTCCTCTCTAAAGAAGAGCAATTTTGTTCCCCACAACCAAACAAGCAGAGTAGCAACAAACCTATTGCCTGATGGAGGTTAACACGGCCCGTCCAGGCTTGCTGACCCGACACTAAGTTCTAGACCATCACACAGCTCCTTTAAGTTGCCCACCAGCATTTTTTTGGTGTAAAATAGAGTTTTCAGGACAAGCACTTGTGTCAAACTCCCCCTTTTCCTCCTTCATCTGCCTAACTTCCTCTCTTCTGAAACATAAACAAAGCTGGCAATGGTCACCAGAAGAAAATGCAAACAGAGAAAAAGAGGATACAGTTCTTCAAGTCACATCATTGTTTTTTTCATCCCTCTCTCCCTTATCATTTTCCTTTTTTTTTCTCACCTATGCTCTCTTTTTTTCCATTTCTTTGCCCATTCTCTTGTGCTGGCCGTCCCTTAGTCTCCCTCTTCCTTTTCACAAACTACGTCCATGTGTTTCTCAAAATCAGGATTTTTGTTTCAGTTTTATCCTTCCCTAAAAACTCTCGCCTGCAGCTTTTCCATTTCCAGGTTTACTCTGGTTTTCCCCCTCCCCTCTTTATGTGATCCTGTGTCTGCCTCCTTGCATCAACAACAGCTCATGTTATTTTTCTTCAACAACTGATGACCTCGTGTATGCAATTCTATTCAAGAACAGTGCTCCCAGGCATGGCACAAATGAATTTCAAGTTCTAGGAGAATGTTACTGAGTTAGAAACTAGACTGGAATAGCCACTAGATGCAGTGAGGATACCAGGAAAAATTTAGGGAGAGATGAGTTGTTTCAAGGTTATAGAGTGCTATTGTTTTGCTACTATATGAATGTTTTTAAGCTTTGCATTTACATGCTGTCTCAGAAGAGTTTCTTCCATGGATGAACACACAGCTGAGACTCACAGTGGTTAGAATGAAGTTACCCCCTCGACTGGCTCTTGAAGAATTCTCCTTTCTTACCTCTAGACAAATTACTGATCCTTGATGCTCTTTAAACACTTTCAGCTGCTCGCCAGTGACAATATTCCACGTTCGGATGGTGTAATCCGTGCTGCCAGAAAACAGCTCCCTGTTTGGTGCGTCAAGTATAAGGCATAAGACAGCTCCAGTGTGTCCCAGCAGAGTCTGGTAGCAGCGCCCACTGGACACCCACCAGACCTTAACAGTGCAGTCCGTGCTACCTGTCACCAGGAGGTCCCTGCTCACTTTCTCCTCCTCTTCCTCCTCCTCCTCCTCCTCTTCAAGAACATCCTTGGAGGAATAGTGAGCTAAAGTCAGGACACAGTTCCGATGGCCCCGGAATTCCTGGATTTGTTTCTCCTTGTCCACGCTCCAACAGCGAGCCGTCCTGTCGTAGGAGCCACTGAAGAGATAGTCTTTGGCAACTAAAATCCTGAAAAAAGTAAAGTTTGCATGTTTTACAGTGTTTAAATATATGTGTTTATCATTATTTAATAACTATTTTTGTCACAATTTCAATGCCAAGAACATTGAAATACAAAATGTAGCCAGACCCCCATATATACAACTTTGATTCACCTGTCCTGTGTAAAACACAGTATATATGTGTTTTATGTGTACACTGTTTCCAACACAAAAGAGTTTCTTACTTATACTTTTGAAAAAGGAAGCCCCTTATTTAGATACTCCAGTGTGGACATTGTATCTTTGGGCAGTCACATATTTCAAAAATCCTTTCCAGCCTGCACTAATATGCATTTTCCACGGGTTTATATAGTGCTTTTATTTATTTATTTAACAAATAATTACTTATAAATTGATCTGCAAAAACAGCTTAGAATTAAAAAAGAACCTGCTTGTAACTGATATTCTGCAAAGCTAATCATCACTCCATCATCATATAAACCAATTGCAAAAATATTAAATAAGGTAATGTCACTTTTAGCCCAGGATCTCAAAAAAGTGGAGCAAGAGCATCCTACTTGCTGTACTCACCTGAAGAGAGAATCTGAGTTTATAGTGCAAGAATTCAGGGCCCTCACAATAATAAGTTGCAGCTGGACAAATAGCTAACAACAGAACAATCTCTTCTGCCCTCTTTTCAGTGGTGGCCACTGACAGAACTAGAGGTAATGGCCACAGACTGAAGGACCAAAAGTTCCACAGGAACTTAAGGAAAATTTCTTAACAGTGAGGGTGCCAGAGCGCTGGAACAGGCTGCCCAGAGAGGTTGTGGAGTCTCCTTCTCTGGAGATCTTCCAAACCCGCTTGGACGCAGTCCTGTGCCACGTGCTCTAGGTGACCCTGTGTGTGTAGGGGGGTTGGACTAGATGATCTCTAGAGGTCCCTTCCAACCTTAAGCATTCTGTGATTCTATGACACAGTTCATCTTGCCTAAATGCAGACAGGGACCGTGACAACCCGTCTTCTTTGTCACCCAAAGGGACCTCTGAAACCTTTCAAACCGGGAACAAAGTCATCCAAATGGGGAACACATTCCCATTTGCTAATTCGAGCAGCTGGTCAGGCCAGTGCCAAAATACAGACAGAGGCAGTCTCCCTAACTATTTACAGAATCTAGCTACATATCATATGTATTTTTAGTTTAGTAAAGAAGAAAAAAGGGGAAAAAATCCTTGACTGCTCTGTTTCTGATTAATTAAATCCATTCTGATTACTTACAGGCACTTTTAAATTGCACGATCAGTTTGCACGATCAGTTTGCACAAGCAGCCACAGTGCTTCTAAAACGAACCCTTTATCCCTCTTACTGCCACAAAGGCTTGACGTGATGTTTTGAAATCGATTTATCAGAATTATCTGCTATCATCAACTGAACCCTTTCAATTCATGGAAATCCGTGCCAAGGGCTGCATTCAATCCCCCTGTCCTGTGCCTCTCGCTTCTATCCTATGGATAGAAGCATTGGAAAACCAAGCACTACAGCACAAAACAGGGGTATGCTGCACTCAGCGCTTCACACAGCCCATTTTATCAGCATAGCAGGGGAGAATTTGGGTAAAATGACAATATAGGTGAAAACAAGTTATGGGGATGCAACAGGGTGATCCTCCCTGAAGACCTGTGTGGAACCAACCTGTTCACAATCGACGTGTGTCCCCGGTAAACGGCCAGGCACTGGCCTGTCACCACGTCCCACTTGCGAATGGTGTGATCCGCGCTGCACGTGAAGGCTGCCTCGTTTTCCAGGTGGCAAAAGGTGATGTAGCTTTCGTGCCCTAGGAAAAGCAGAGGGAAAAAGAGAAGCTCGATCACAGTGTGAGCACAAACGACCAAGCAAGCTTCTCAGTTGAACTAGATGAAAAAAATGCAACAAGCTGAATTTATCTTCATCTAAAAGGCCAGAGCCGCACAGATTCTGAAGCTCTGGTTTCAAATGTACAACCATGAAAACACGACGTTTTTAACCAACAGCGGAAAACTCCGCTTCGCTGATGCAAAGAATAAGTGAAAGAAGGGAACTGTAAAGTTTCACCAGTCAGGAAGCTAAATAGTTTTATAAAAACATACAGAGCTCAATCAGTATTAGTATAATAACACTCAGATTACTGGAGTTTAAAACCATTAGAAAGAAAGAAAAAAAAAAAAGGCTTTAAAAAATAAAGAAATGGTTTTGCTTCCTTTTTCTGAAGCCGAAAAAAAAAAAGAAAAAAAGACTGCATTTCATCCCAACCTATTGATTGTCAGGGCACAACGAACAGCATGAAACTAAAGCAAGAGAATATGGAAAAAATGTTATCATGAAGAGACATCAGACTTACCAGCAAGTTAGCTTTACCATCCAAGTTGAATGAAACACAAACAAAAAAAACAACAAAACCTGTATGTACTCCCCCCGTTATAACTAATACCAGGAGAGAAAAATAGAAGTTTCCATATATCAGTATATCTTTAAGGAAACAACACAGAAAGAGTAACAGCATTATTATTTATACAGCATTCAAAGTGTATGGGGGCTCTGAAGTTACTATAAAAACAGACAAACAGTAGAAAAACAGAATCGTGTTGTAGAAAAATAAGATAGTAAAGAACTAAAGCAAAGACCAAGAGGAAAGCAGACTGCTCAGTAAAAGATGGGTTCATTGACAGCATTCAAAAGATTTTGATACTACTGCTGTAGTTTGAGTCCTTGGCATCTAAATGACAAAAAAAAATCTTTATCTGCTGGAGACCTCTCCTTTCCTATTGCTTATGCCTACATCTTCAGTCATTTCTGTGCAATTCAGTTCTGAACTAAAATCCTTTCAGAGTTCTCCAAAATAAATGAAAACTGATTCTCATTAATGACACCTGGAAGTCCTCCTTTCTGAAATGGAATATTATTATTCATACATAATAGCTGAGAGATGACTAGAAGAAAGATCATAAAAGAGAAATAATAAAACACACTGTCAGAATAACTGTAAACCACAACTTTCACAAGTATGTGTTTATCAGCAGCCTAACAGTAAATTGTACCTAGTTTCAGATGGCATCTGGGTTACCTGCAATAAACCCCATACATGACAGGCTCCAGAAAGTGAGATATCTTCCCGATGTCATCGTAATGAAAGTCTCTTTTACAAAAAGAAAATATGGCTTTAAGAGTTAACAATAAGATATGACACTCTTCTAGCTGCCAGTCCATTTCCAGACCAGACCAACTCATAAAAATTGTTACCATTGGAGGGTTCATTAACAACGAAAGAAAAATAAGTCTGAGAGCCCTCAGTGATCAGTGAACTAGAATTCACATTACAAACACACACAGAGTCCTGTTTTCTCTTAAGGAAATTCAGCAGATGTCAGAAATTAAAACAGATCACCAGGGCTGTAACTGAACTACACCCATCCTCACTTTTTGTGAAAAGTTTCTACAAAGCAGCTTAAATGAGGCAGGTTTCAACTACCAGGATCTTTCTCTCGGCATCACGTAGCCCTGCTCTGAAAGGAGCAAGACAACATCTTGATTCCTTCCATGGAGTCTGCCAATTGTTTTTTAGCCATCAGTAACACTCGAGCCACACGACGGATACCGAAACCCTCGGTGATAGACAAGGCCCAGTGCTCATCTGGTCCAAAAACTGAAAAAAAAGCCAGCACATAAGATGCTGGTTATGCTCTGGAAGCCTGAAGTGCTATTTGTGTTACAGCTATAGTGCTGTCATACCTACAGCTTTTAGAAAAAAATATACAAAAATGTGTGCATGCATAAATATAAAATATATACAACAATCTGATTTAGTGGACCTTTCACAAAGCCTCAGCATTTGTGCTCAGAGACGTATCCCAAGCACTAGGGCCAGTGCATAGGCCAGACTGAATTTTATCCAATATACTTCCCTTTCTAGCAAAGAGTTAATGGGTGGTTTAAAAGGATTTCCAGTCCTAAAGCAAATGCTTTCCAGCAGACTTAGGGATGTGAGCACAAAACAATATAGTTAAAGACAAACAAACAAAAAATTCACATTTCCTTTTGGAAGGAAAAAGGATCGGAAACTTCCCACAGGGTGGATTTTTGCTGCCTGAAGAGAAAAAGAACATGAGTGAGGGAGAACACATGCACAATCCTGGGGCCACATTCTGGCTCCTGGATGTGCTTTTCTACAGCGTTTCACTTTTCTTTGTAACTATTCTGAAGTTACTATAGAAATTATAAATTTTGTTTAAAATGTTAAATCAATGGGGAACAAAAGAGCCTAGCAGGTCTGCATTTGACACATGGAGATATTATGTTGTATGGAAAAATAAATCTTATTTAGTAAGGTTTGTTTCCAGACTTGTGAGCAAAGAGCTCCCAAATAAAGACCATCTGGAAAACGAGATGATTAAAAGGATGAAAGAAAAAAAAAAGGGGGGGGAGAGAGAAAAACTAAAAGTCAAGATTTCATGAGAATCAGAGGGTTTCCGGAAAGAGGCAGAAATGAAGCAATTGCTAAGCTGCACATTTTGCAATAAAAGGGTTCGTGTCATCCGCAGCGCGGGTAACATGTCGGGGGGCTCCAGGAGCTCCCCTCAGCATCGCGGGCAGGTCTGGGCAAAGCCGGAGCGGGAGAACCAAGGGCGGCTCGGGCCGCTCGAGGGGCCGAGCGGGACGCGAGCTGCCCGGCGCCGCGGGCTGCCCGTGGGACCGGGCCCGAGGAGCGGAGTACCTTGGAGGTGGCCGTGGCACTGGCTGTCGGCCGTGCTCCAGAGGCGCGCGGTGCCGTCCTCGCTGCCCGTGAGCAGGCGCTGCCCGTCGGGGCTCAGGCTCAGCCAGTTGATGCCTCCCTGGTGCTCGGCGCAGACCTTGAGGGCCGAGCCGCCGTTGCCCATCGCGCCGGCTCAGCGCCGCGGGGC